AATCCTCGTAAAGACACGAGAGCCTGTGGTGTTGAGGTGTCTTTTTAAGGTGTTCGAGTCACATGTAGGTAATGGTAACCTTACATGAGTAACTGTGCCAATAAACAACATCCAACAACAGTAATACATTTTGATCAGAACCGTCTTCATCAGGAACGTATATTCGTATCTGTACAATAATACCATTGAATTATCTTCACTGACTTTCAAGTCACGTAACTGTACTTCACTGTGCATCACCGTATCTCACTGAACATCGATGTGTTTGCAAGTATGTCGTATCACCATGTGACGCACTATCGTCAGATCTCTTTAGATCGAAGTTCATTTCCTTTTCACGCATATACAACGCGAACAACGCTTGTATTGGTCCGCGAATTATGTACAACGTCCCTTGTGACAGCGCGACCTGTAACCTTCTCGTAGAAGTAGTAGGGATAGATGCAATCTGACCCAAACGTTTGGTCACTAACCCTTGAATATGAATAAATTGTTCAACATCAACCAAAACGTGAGTGTATGTACTTGAAGTATGCTGAATATACGCAACAAGTATCGTAGGCACTTATCGGGATAAAGGTTTTAACAGGGAGTATAGACATGTTTGTATCTGAAATAAGTTCAACTTCTATATCTTAGCAGTGCAGTCAATATAAATGAATTCTAAGATGCTTCGGTGAAAGATCAAAGGCGCCGACAGTACTTTACCAGACGATAATGTGCACTTTTTGCATTACGTCACATTCTAATTCAACTTAGTATTTAAAGGGGAAGTGTACACGAATAAATCACATTTATTCTTCTGTGAATCAAAGTGAACTGTTTTAATTAGTTAATACCAATGTTTGAAAATATACACTCATTTTTCTTACAATGTAAGTATAACCCTCAAAATAAGTGCTGAAATGTTATGCCAATATGAAGCCTTTGTTTGCCGAGCTAAACAGGCCAGAGTTACCGCCCTTTGATTATGACGTAATTGGTGCCACTTGATTTTAAACTGGTCTACTGTCTAGTCCCAAAACAAAAGATAATAATACTGAAATTAATCACGTGAAAAAAGTTCGAAAGAAGCATAAGAACAGAAAATGTAAGCAGCAGGGCAGATTGATCGTGTGTGTTTTCATTCATAACCTCACCTCAATGAAAATACCAAATATGTATAACAATGTTGACGTCCGTATGACATCACTATCGGGAAGCGACTTTTTCAAAATGGCGTGTTAACTGACACGAGTACGCCGGAGTTGTCGAAGAAATTTTCGTTGTTTCAAGCAACGTATATGCATAAATGTGACATGTAAGTAGTCCGAAAATTCTGTCAGTCTGCTGGTTGTTATTTTCTTCTTGTTTTCATTGTGACCAAGGGAAATAGTCAGAAATTAAGAGAGGTACCGTCATCGTTGTGCGTGAGTTTGCGTCAGTCATGGCGTCACGCTTTCAGAAACCATGATATGTTGTGATGAATCTAGAAAATCAATCGAATACACCTATTTTATTTAACTATCGCTTGCTACGATACCTTTCCCATGCATGTTCTAAAACTAATGAGCAAGTGTATGCAACAAGTAGGCGAGCGGATACACAGTGTAAAATCTGGGATTGGCTTTGTTTACATTTCAAACAAGTGGTCCTTTCCCAGGGCGGCATCTGATATATTTCGTTCGATTTCAGTGAAACACTTCGAATTGGTGACAGAGTCCATTTGTCAGTTTATTTTGAACTGTATGAGAAATTCAGGGATTCGTGTCAGGAAGATGGTGTTGAACTATATACAATTGATTTTATGGGCGAAATATAGCCGACATACATGTGACGTGATTTTATAAACACTCTGTAAAATGGCTGAAAATTCACTTTGACGTTAATTGTGTTTGCAAGCGTATTTTCCAAAACATTCTCAGCGATTCTCGGTTCATCGACAATGTTTCAGAACGAGCATTAGTGATTTGATCATACAACAACAAAACTACCGCTGATCACAATGATAGGTCTTTTTCTTTTAAATTCAATTCTCCCAGTAAAATTTGACATTTGAATTAAGACACGCAAAACGCAGTGAATGGTGATGTAGTAATGTGTCAAAACTGGCGAGATTTACGATGCATGTAATTTTCAGTATATTTGATCTACAATGAGCGGATGATATAGAAAACTAATTTCAAACAGAGTTCAAAAGTGCAAATTGCATTTATTTTCGTGATGTACATGGATATGGTATCGATATCAAAGTGAAGGTGGAAGAGGAGGGACATATTGTACGATTTAAGTAGGAATTTTAGTAACAAACGTAGAATGCCGGCACATTCGCCGATGGCAAGCTAGATGTAGTGCACATTTTAGTTTTTGTGAAAAAGATACCGTTGAAAAGGCGACCGACACAGGTTGAATGTTATACAATTTGGTTACGTGGTAACACATTTAGTACAATGTATACGTTTTTTCAAACTGCAACGTCATTACAGTGTAGAACTGATGACATAGCCAGCTGACGGCCAGGCAACAGGTGGATTAAAACAGTAGCCTGCGCATCGAGACACAAGAACCGCACCTATACCTGCACCACGTGAAATGGGTCTAATAAGGTCTAACGACGTCATTCGTTTATCATTTGGGCACCAATGACGTCATTTCCAAGGGACATAAGCCATGGTGTGTTTATTGTGGACACAGAACTCTCGGTAAATGTTGAACATATGAATTGATATAACGCAAAAAATAAATTAGTTACTTCTGATATGTGTACGGGTTTGGATATAAAACTACTTGACAAACATTTTTCATGATGAAAAAGTGCAAGACAAAAGGTTTATTTTCGTGTACACTTGCCTACGTCACAATGTGAGCGACGTCACGATGCATGTCAGTTGTCATCGCCTCGTACAGCCTCCTACAATAAACTAGTCCGTTGCATTCCGTTTCTTGGTTTGCAGTTGCTTCACGCAACTAACATCACGGTGGAAACATTACGTGTTTTCCGACGGTTAAAATGTCTCAATTCGACTCACAAGTTTTCAGCGACACGGTAACGTTCGCAATGTTTACATTCCCACAATGTAATCGTGGAATGTCGCTTGACTACTCAGCTTCATCTGGATGTACTGATCTAAACTTACGTTGGTAGTAGAAATGCGACGTTCATATTGCCCCATACGGTTTACAGATACAATTAAAATATTTTAGAGAAGATATTTAATCCGAACGTAAACCGTCATCAAACTGTTTATCACTTTTTTCTGGTAACGTTCGTCTTAACGTATGGGGGAGGCACATCTATAGAACAGCGCGCAAGGATTCTTAATTTAGGTCACCGACACCGTCCTTTGTTTTCTGCATTAGATTAATCGTAATTATCCTCAGAAAGTATTAAATTTGGCATCTTAGAAAAGAAATACTGTTCGCTCTACCACCATGTATAGTGTAATAAAGCACACTTTCGCCCTGAACTATTATAGTCCGAGTGCTTTAACGTTATAATAGTTCAGGGCGAAAGTGTGCTTTATTACACTATACATGGTGGTAGAGAGAACGGTATTTCTTAAATAACAGCAGCTTATTATCATTGCCATCAGCACAGCCATGTACAGGCCAGCATCGTGTAATTAACCTTAGAGTATGACCAGTTTAACAGAAGTTCAACATTGTGGATGAGGTGCTAGATACTACAGGCTGACCATACATGTATCGTAATGCTGCCTGACAGTCAGTAGTATCAGGGAGACTCTATAAGTCCAAGTCACTGTGTGCGTTGGAGCATGACGAGGCACACGTTAATTAGTACAAATGGTAAAGAAAGCAAGCGAGTGACCTATCCCTGTTGTAGAGTATCCCTGGTAGTATATACATTGAATACTTGTAAGGGGAACTAGACCCTTGAACAACGGCTAGGGAGGGGAACTGACAATCGCCTCCCGGATGCTGCCTGGCCGTTGTTTCACCATCATGTAATTGCATATTTAGACGCCGAATAAAGTGGTGTGGGCGATGGCCTTCTGGACTTCTGTATTTGGACAATATGCCAACCATAATAGCCCGTGATACAAGACAAATGACAATAGTACAATACGCAATACCAGGGTATGAAACTCCCAAATATTTCAGCCAGAACACAGGGCTGGTTAGATGTAAAACGTGCCAGCCCTGACCCAAACTTTCCTGCCCGCAAATAATTTAGGTTTGACAAGTGACGTAGTTTATCATCCAACTGGAATTGTAATCAGGGCCGTAGTTAACTTCTCTTAATAGGGTGGTCACTATCCACGTTAACAGAGTATTACATCAATACTCTGATGTACAAAAAATAATCTGTAAAAGGGGAGAGCTCCACCTTTCGTAGTTATCCGACTGGGCGAGATCGTTGTCTGAGTTCCGGTGCGCACGGAAGTATGACAGACTGCATGTGCTATGCAAATGTTTGCCCGGCCGATACTGAACTGTGAAAGCTAGGTAATTTTCCATTTTTGATTGAGCGAGCAGGATTTTGTTCTGACTCCTCGGGGATTGATTGTTTTACCAGCAACAGGTGGTAACAGATTACCATTTGCCATCATTGGAACAATTGTTGAACCATTTTGAATAGCCAAAGTATAAAATTCACGACAGCCTCTTGCAAAATCATATACAATGAAATGGACACCTAAAATGGGCTCTACACATTTAAGTACTAGGCTACCCCACCGCCCTTGTGGAACAGGGCTCTGAGCTCATATTGTGTTGCTGATGTCATGTGTCATTCACATCGATGTGCTAAAAACCTGTGTCACTATTCATGTGTTGTTCTATGCAATCACCCAGACCCTATACCGCTAAATGATCCTAAACAATCCTGATGAAATGGGCTTCACATATTGTACCCATGTGGGGAGTCGAACCTAGGGAACGCGTGACGAGGGAACGCTTCAACCGCTAGGCTATCCCACCGCCCCTTTTTCTTTATGAAAGCTTAACCCAATAACCTAAACCAGAAAATTCTAATATCATGAAAAACAAAGCCATCAGAATCAACCGGAAATGTACTTTATTGATCTCGCCAGCAATCATCAAGTCATCAAAACACAATGATAAATCTGTAAAACATACGACAAAAACTAACTTATGCTTATGGTCATGATCAGGGGCTCCTTTCACGAAGCAACCTTTACTAAGGTTAACCTTAACTCCCATTCTTTAACATTGCACTGAGGTTACCTTAGTGACTTACGATCACCTTAGTGTTTCGTGAAAGGTGCCCCTGGTCATCACGGGCCACAGGCTGAGTAATCTAAGAAAATGACCCGGAGAGTCAAAGCAAGACTGAATAAAGATGGTTCAATTGGTCACATGATCATGTAAAGCACAAAGAATACTGAATGGTAGATGGATGGACATGTATATAAAAGAATCTGTATAAAAGAGAAGGCAAATGAAACACAAACTGGTAAATAAAAATACTGACTGTATCGGGTTTGCCATTTGTGAAAGTCAACACTGAGTAATACTTCAGTCAACTTGGCCATAGTTTGACATCAGGGACCAATCAACAAAGAGATTTCCATGCTAGGATGACTGTAACTCCTGCCAAGACATGATTTGGGAACAGTGAGTGAGTGATTTCAGTTTTACACCACTTTTAGCAATAAGCCAGCATTATCACTGAAGGAGACACCAGAAGTGGGCTTCACACATTGTATCCATGTGGGGAATTGAACCTGAGTCTACCACGTTACGAACAAAGCTTTAACCCACCACCCTTGTGGAACAGAGCTTTGAGCTCATATATGTGTTGCTGATGTCATGTCATGTCATGTCGATGTGCTGAAAACAACCCATGTCACTATTCATGTGTTGTTCTATGCAATCACTCAGACCCAATAACGCTAAATAACTGCAAGATTGTTTACAACTATAAGATCATATAGTGGAACCCTGAACCTGAAATCAGCCCCAAAATCGGAAAGTGAAGTTTCAAAATCTGTAGAGGCAAGGTTTTGGGATTCCAACTAAAGCAATCTTACCTGAAATAAGATGAAGATCAGCAACCCATGCTTGTCGTACGAGTCGACTGATGTAATCGGGTAGACAGGCTTGCTGCTTGACACGTCATCGTAACCCAGATACATAGATCGATGCTCATGCTGTTGATCACTGGATTGTCTGGTCCAGACTCGATTATTTACAGACTACCGCCATATAGCTGGAATATTGCTGATTGCGGCAACAAACAAAACGTACCTGAAATATGCTTTATTGTTACCACCAAATGATGCCCATTTACAAGACACAAACAGATGGTTGCCTGGGTAAGTGCAGTAATTAAACAGGCATGCTTTGACCAAGCCTTTGAGTTCAAATGCCAGAAACTAGAGCTATTTACATAATTACATCATGGGCCATCTAACTAGAACAAATGAACTCAACACCCTTGCAAATTGATTGACAATGGCAAGCAATGCACTCTGGTTGAATCTGGGTCAAATTCAAATATAAAAAATTACATTGATTTAACATAGTTTTAAAATAATAATTTTTGTTTGTAAGCCATTGAAGAGGACAGAAACATGGTCCTTGCCTCTAACACTAATTTTATGATGTTTTAATCTTACAGTACATGATTAAGGTTAATTACAGAAAATCTAACTATAAAAAATGAGCATGACTTGGACTGGGTGTGGTCAGATGTTCATGGAACATATTCCTTCTTCAAATCATCATCTCATATCATGAGAATATGATTGAGCAATTAATAAGAAGCATATTTATACTATGCAAGTACTTGCATACAATTTAGTAACATGCAATATGACACGCAAATATGATAAAAATATCTCTGAAGTAAACATGTCATGTCAAAACGGCTCGATGGATTTCAAACAAACAAGACTTTATCCTCATCAATCACTCTTTAAAAATCCCTTTGAACATTGACTAACATTACTGATAATAAGGCACATAACTTTGTGGTTGACAACTTCTTGTTTATTGCATTGCGACACTTTTCAGTCTAGATTCTTACACCATTTTCAAGCTTGGAAACAATGTAGGAATCTACACCGAAACGTTGCTCTCTGCAGAAACAAGAAGTTGCTTCCCATGAAGTTGTCTGTTTTATAATTGACTCACCAACTTCTAAAATGCTGATCTAACATTATTGATTTGAACAAATTTGGCATCTTAAATTTACTCAGGACAACACATTTATATTGAAACGAAATGGTTGACTGGACACTGACGTAACAACTTAGCAACCAAATTATTGTTGCCTGTGGAACAAACAGACGGCTATAATCAACATCATAAACAACTTGACTAATCACATACATTTACAATGACTGACTGACTGAGTTTGGTTTTAAGCCGCTTTTAGCAATATTCCAGCAACATCACGGCGGGGAACACCAGAAATGGGCTTCACACATTGTACCCTTGTGGGGATTCGAACCCGGGTCTTCGGCATGACGAGCCAACGCTTTGACCACTAGGCTACCCCACCGCCCCCATTTACAATGAGGAACTTCCAGCAAGGGTTCCACACACTGTAACCATGTAGGGAATAAAACCTGGAATTTTGTCATGACTAAGAATGTTTAAACCACTAGGCTGCAAAACGTCCCCTATGCTTTAGCACAGAGGTATATGATATGATAACAACTTGCTTTGGAACTGGGCCCAGTCATGGAATAACATGAGTATCACATGGAGTTTGTGAGTGAGTTAGTAAGTTTTATGATGTCACTAGAAAACAGTTTCTAGCTTTCCAGAAAACACCAGAACTGAGATTTCACGCATTGTATGCCTGTGGGGAATCGAACCCGGATTATTGGTGTGATTATTAAAGGCTTGATTATGGGCCCATTACCATTTGGATAATCCAAAAATATTCTGAAATTCTTGTTCCTGGTCCAGAATCTAGAGACATCAACAAAAGAACATAAATCTAAGCAAATAAATATTTGAAAAAGGATTTTCAAACAAGAGTCGATGTTTGATCGCTGACTACGGATTGGTTTGTACATATGGCTCCAAAATGTCATAATATTATCCCATAATATCAAGAAAGACTGTGACTATTTATGCACCACAGATACAGGAGATAACAGAAGTTGGGACAAACACATCCGTCAGACATATAATACTAGTGAATGCGTGAGCGAGTTGAGTTTTATGCCGCTTTCAGCAATATTCCAGCAATATCACCGTTGGGGACACCAGAAATGGGCTTCACTTTGTACCCATGTGGGGAATGGAACCCTGGTCATTGACGTGACTTGTAAATGCTTTAACCACTAGGCTCCCCCACTGCCCCTAAAGTACTGGGGGACACCAGAAATGGGCTTCACACATTGTACCCATGTGGGGAATCGAACCAGGGTCCTCACATGTCATCGTATCCCAATTGTGTAGATCGATGCTCATGATCTGTTAATCACTGGATTGTCTGGTCCAGATTCGATTATTTACAGACCGCTGCCATATAGTTGGAACATTGCTGAGTTTGGTGTTAAATAACAAACCAACCAAAACCAAGGTCTGACAAACCAAAAATAACAGCACTGTTCAAATAATGAATCAGCACATCCTGGTACAATGCAGGGAAGCAGGCTGATAAGCTTTTAAATCTGAAAACTGTGCTGACTCCAAATCTGCATTGAAATCTTCTAGACTCAAAACAAACTATATAACCTAAATAGGAATCAGTGGTCTCTTTTCAACAAAACATTATTATTATCATTCTTATACCTAAAGACAGGTACACAATGACTAGACAAATAAATGTAATGATGTAAATACACATATGTACATTAATAGACATAGAGCATAAAACTGAATAAAAATACTATGTTATATAAACATTAACTCTGACTGATTTACAAACAATACTGGGACAAAACATGAAAATACTATCAACAAAATGACATAAAAAAATACTGTCTGTTTAGCATGAACTAATGGCAAAACATGATCATTTTACAACCATCTGCACCATGTCCAAAATTTGTGTTGAAAGTTCAACAGTTCTCATCACAATCATACTAAAGAAGAGATTTAGGGATTCTTTTAAAAATGTATTAGATCAACAAACCTTTGTCTCTTTCCTTTTTATACTGACAATTGTGATTAAAATCTATAATATACTGAGGGAAACAAATAAGGGAACAGCACTTCACGGCAGTATTCCTTTATTTATCCTCAGATTTCCCCCCACAGCGCGCTATTCAAAGCTGGTGATGAAAACTGGAAAATATCAAAGGAACACTTAAATTTTCCTATGTTCCTTTATTTGTTTCTCTCAGTATATGTAATTTACAATCGACAGCTGCCACCAATATCCTTACTGAATAACATGTCAAAATGTCAAGGCTGATGCTACTGATCACAAAATTGTCTAATAAAGGTGTACTATTGACCATATGTGACATTAATGAAGTTTGTATCATAAAATAGGATTGAATATTCATTCCTGAATAACCCAATTACTCAATAGTGATGTACTTCAATATATGTACAAGGAATTGGTTATATTCAACCCTGACTTTTTAATTGTTGGTTACACAAAATGTTAGCCTCAACATCTCATCTAGCTTGTCAAAATAAATATAATGATTTCCAAACAGCAGATAAAAAAACTGTGTTTGTATTTTACCATTCACCTCTGTGGAACAGTCAGAACATCAACTACCAAAAGTTATTGTCTTTCTCTTTTTGGAATTCAACATTTATACAGTTTGAACTCACCTTCTTCAAATCATCCATCTACTACATCCCCAAATCCCAAATCAGATATGACAGGGAATCTTCATGGAAGATCCTAATCCCATATTTTAAAAAATTACCAAATAAAATCAAACCAAGATCACATATACCGTAGTGATAAAAACTTATGTTAGATACAAAGAATTTTCACTTCAGCCAAAGAAAATCTAAAATATTGGCACAAGCATTCCAACTAGCTCATCACTTTCAGCAGAAATGTGACCAAAATGCTTTAAAAACATCACAACTCCAAATGAGTGAGTGAGTTTAGTTTTACGCCACACTCAGCAATATTCAAGCTATATGGCAGCAGTCTGTAAATAATCGAGTCTGGACCAGACAATCAAGTGATCAACAGCATGATCATCGATCTGCTTAATTGGGAACCGATGACATGTGTCAACCAAGTCAGCGAGCCTAACCACCCGATCCCGTTAGTCGCCTCTTACGACAAGCATGGGTTACTGAAGGTTCAGTCTAACCCGGACCTTCGTGGGTTAACTCCAAATGAGCTCCAAGTGAGTGAGTAATGTCTCAGCCACTTTTGGCAATATTTTAGCAATATCACAGCAGGAGGCAATGGAATTTTGCTTACAGAAACTATCATAATTCAATGTTCATGACCAGTATTTTATCTAGTATTTAGATATATGTATTAGTAATAACATCTGGATAGAATACAAACCAATTTTGTTTCAACACCCAGCTTCAGGCTGGATTGTTTTATATATATATACTCTTTAAAAAAGTAAGGGAAGCTAAACTTTCAATTTGGATAGGAAGTATAAGTGTTAACAAACTTTTCAAAGACAGACAAAACATTTATTATTATCGTATCAACATTAATTGACTCCAATATATCTCCTAATTGTTTCAATCGTAAATTAAAAAATTAAAAATGATGCTCCCCTACTTTATTCTAAGAGTATATTTTGGCTGGACTAACAAAAGTATGTACAGTCCAATCAAAGTCACAGAATGAAATTGACACCCGGTTCAAAAACAACTCTTTGGTTGATTCCATGATTCGTAACGCATGTGAAACTTGAACTGGGCCTTGACAGACACTTTCAAAATCTGTTCATGTTTTTAATCAAAATGAGTAAATTGAATTACTTCAGGCAGTGAGACCGACCTGCTATATTTGATATAGATCTTGATTTTTATTGATCTGATTATCTTGACTAGGCTCTGCCACTGATTTGAAAGTGAGGGCAACTGACATGAAAGGTGAAATTTGATTGGTCAATTGGAGGACATAGAAGGGACATAACTCATTGTCACTGGTTAGCCACAAAATTCTAGCCTAGTTCAGCAAGGGTTAAAACAAGACTTTGAAAGTCAGTTTGAACTGCTTTGACTCAGAAGATGTGCATTTTTGTAAAACCACAAAACATCACCACAACCCAATTAGGCTTGAGTTGCTTCAAATACATCCTGCACAAAAAATGCCCAAAGAAACAACACTTATACAAAGACTGGCTAAAATTACTAATAATCAGAAATATTGTTGATAGGAAAGATTATCAATGATTATCGATATGACAATTGTGTTATCGATATCATTTACTTTTGTGATAGAAAAAAGTTTGAATTTTCGCACACAATATACAAATTTAGGAATTTATCCATGGTCTGCTTCAGGATCCTATTTTGTTAATAATCCATGCAAAAACATGTCACCGGTCACCAGTGATGTGAAATCTATTAATTTCTCTCAGATATTTTTGGCATTTTTGCTCAAAGTTATGTCTCTGATATTTATCAATAATCGATCAATATTAAATTAATGATTATTGATCTATAACCATGATAACAATAGCCAGCCCTAAGTATTACCCAAAGAGAATGACAACATGCAAGCCCTGAAAACATTACTCATGTTATTTTTCATGTTTAAAAGCAAACATGACAGCAATGAGTTTAAAAAATCCCCCGAAACTTGATTTTAACTGCAAGTCAGCAAATAGAAAAAGCCAATACACAAAAGGTCACTAAAGTTGACAAGTTTCTTCATTCAGGCTTGTTATACCAACAAAGCAATAATTGGTTATGAATTTGTCTGCGATGATACAAATTTAATTAAATGACATTGGTAACTAAAGCATTGCAAGCTGTCTCCAGCTGATGATTTGTTTCAGCATAGATCAACACTCAAACTGAATTTTACTAGTGTTTGAATCGGTTAATATCTCATGTCTTCGATTATGAGGAAACATGATCGATTGGTTGGTCCTTTAGTCACTGCGACCAATCTTCGATTATTTCAATTAATCGTACCACCACTAAATTCTACAAAAACCTTCAGCAAGCTTCAACACCTGTGAGGTAAATCTGTGGCAATACAAAGTAGTCTCTTTCCATCCTAAGTCATTTTTTCTATATGTTTTTACATAAAAATGGCCAGAAAATTCCATGTAGGGGCATTATATTTTGTTCAAATGTTGACTAGATCAGTGCTGCTACTGATGAACAAAATACAATTTTGACTCTCCTTCCATTATGGTAGGATGGATATGGCACGATATCGAAATCTAGTTGATTGGGCTTTTTGTCTGTTAGTCCCTGGAATTTAACTAACAGCGATAAGAAAGTTGTTTGTATTTTAAACAGTCTGCCAAAAAAAAACAACTGTCAAAGGTCACTGATATTTTTCGGTCTCTTTTCAAAGAAATTTTGGATTTCGTTTTTAAAGATAATTGGCATTTTCAGATATGGTGGCAGGAGTAAAAAACATTTAAAACAAACCATGTCTTGGTTCATGTTGACGTCCATGGAAGTCATATGAACATAAAATGAATTCCTGTAGTTCTGACTTGGAACTAATCTCACAGTTGAAAGTACCAAGTCTTTGTGAAAATGAGGAACTTCCCAGATAGCATTCAAACGTTGGTCCAACGTTGGCAATGTTGGCAAAACCATTGCCAATGTTGGTCCAACGTCTGAATGCTATCTTTGTTTAAGTTTGTCATTAGTATCTGACTTTATTTATTTGTTTGTCTCTCAGCAATATTCCAGCTATGTGATAGCGGTCTGTAAATCATCAAATCTGGACAAGACAATCCAGTGATAAAAGGAAAATTTCAGCATGAGGTATATGAGCAATCTTTCTTGAACAAATACTGAAAGGTTAAGTATTATGCTATGGACAGACAGAATATAACAATCACATCACATATACCAGGATAAAATACATTGTAGTTCATCCAACCGATGTATACAACTTCATACAAGGCATGCTAAACTTCTCATTGCAGCTTATGAAGGGCAGTGGGGTAGCCTTGAGGTTAAAGTGTTTGCTCGTTATGCTGAGTGAGTTTTGGTTTTACGCCGCTTTTAGCAATATTCCAGCAATATCACGGCTGGGAACACCAGAAATGGACTTTACACATTGTGCAGACACTTTCACTACTGGGCTACCCCAACAGCAATACTGTTTTGGCCATAACATTTGCCTTATAGTACAGGAACACACACTCAACAAATTGTCCCTTATCACATAACTTGAACTCAATCTATTGTTCAAAAGACAAATTGGTTTAAAAAGCAATTACTGCGTTTTGGCACAGGCATTTCCTAAAACAATGTACACATCTAAAATAAACTTTCTTCTCTTGATCTATTGTTCAAAAATAGCACCAGCACTGTAGCTCACCTAACCGTTAATACAAAAGGTCAAAAGGTCAGTGTAAATATTGCAATATTTTCAGATTGTTCAGCATTATAGGGCACCATTTTTTTTTTAATGTTTTTCACGTAGCCACCAAATTCTGAACGGTCGAAAGAATTCAGGGATATTACGAGGCTTCATCATAGGTTTGAACATGTGTCAAGTTCGGCTTTCGAGAAATAAATTTTCACAAAGCATTGATTCGCACAACAAAACTTACAGGCCATGACATAAGCTCTTCCACTCTTCAGGCAGGACAGGTACATCTGTAGTTTGTACAAACAGTTGCTTTGTTTTGGCATCAAAATGAACACTGTGTCTTAGTACTGACCAACACATTCAGCTTCCATTCCACAGGGAGGTGAGATTTCGGATACTGCTCGGTATTGAGTAGTTGAACAGCTGAAAGTCTGGGTAATATGTTTCCCACAAACGTTCAAGGTAATGAGCAGGGATTTGTTGATAATAATTTTGCAGGAGGTCAGAAGTTTTCTGATGGTGGTAGGAAGCTGCCCTTGATGGGAACTTGACAACTGATGACGCGCCAATGGAATCCAAAATATGCTTCGAATCAGTCTCCAACTGATGATATTTTCCAATAAAGTCATACTTAATCAGACACGGGAGACAGAGTTCAAAGAACTGGCACCAATGCTCATTTAAAGTTTCTTTCTTATTCTTGTCCACAACATATTGCACAAACTCTAAAAAGGTTACGTCATTCCCATGAGCAAGTGATTTTGCCGTTGCATTTTTTCTGTACTTCCTGATAATGTTCTTTCCGTATCGTGTATGAAAGAATTTACTGGAGTTTGTCTGACCTTGAAACTTGTTCCGATATGCAGAAAGAAGTCTTTCAAAAGGTTCACGCACTATAAAAAATTTGAAATAATTCCTCAATGCATAATCAACTTCATCCGATGTGAGGTCAGATAAGTATGTGAGATGCTTGTCATATTTCTGGTGAACGTCATTAGCCTTGAGCAACATTGGGTCAGAAACGTCGACCTTGCCTGAAAGAATCAAAAGCATACGTCTCCAGTTTGTACAAGCAACTTTGGGGACCTGGCAGTAGAGGACCTTGTATCTCTTGTCGACGATGATATGGTTGAAAGAACGATGATTCATTTTCTGGTAACGTTTGATATCCATCTCCTCGCACATATCTTCAATGTGATCACGCCAGCTGAGGCCCTACAAAACACCACAAAAAACAGTAACTGCAAAGAAGAAATATATCGCTGATCTTATCTTCATTAATTTCTTCAGTCCACAAAAAAGTAATTCTAAACATATTGAAAAAGTCTTCTTTCAGTGGCATTTGGACGTTTCGGTGTAGATCCTAACACAGTTAACACCATCATTTATTGTTCAATAAATCAGTACACATCATGTAAACATGTAAACTTGAGAGCTGGATTTCCTAAACCTTATCATTACTTCAAGAAATTCAGCTTCATTTGTCCTGGACCAAAAATTACCCACAAACAATGTCATCATCTAAAAAGAACGTGATTTCCTCTTATGCCCAGTAGCATTCAAACTGTTTAACACATGTTTGGCTGTGAGACTGAGAGGGCTGCCATTAAACAGTTTGACTGGGTGTATAAAATGGTTTTGAATCATTTGAGATGGTAAAATTTACTGCATTTCCTATTAAACAAACATTGTGAGTAGTATTTTCATAATTTTAGTCGTGCCACCAGAGCACACTGTAAATATTTCATCTGTGCCATTTCAATATTTAACATGCCGTAACAAATTAAGCACTATTTCGATCCCTGTAAAGTAGTGAATATTGTAAATGCAAGAGTATAGAAAGCTAATTTCAACCTATTGGCACTTGCATGAAGTTCTTAAAAAATAGATAAAGACTGTAGAATCAGAGAGGAAATTAAAGGATAAATAACATCGTTTCACAATGAGAAAGAGCTAGAAACATTATCTATCAAGATTCACAGTTTGTCAAATCCACCATCTCGCTTTCATATCCAACTGCTTATCTGCTATTGAAACACTTCCCGTTTTGTCTGAGAGATCCCTGTACAATATAGGTCAAAAGTGTACGTCTTGTGTGTCATGCAAGTTTATAAGTGCCCATATAACATTAACTGACTGACTGAGTTTGGTTTTACGCTGCTTTTTGCAATATTCCAGCAACATCACGGCTGGGGACACCAGAAATGGGCTTCACACATTGTACCCATGTGGGGATTCGAACCCGGGTCTTCGGCGTGACGAGCCGACGCTTTAACCACTACGCTACCCCACCGGCCCCCATATAACATTAAAATAAGGGTGATTGAAACTCTTTGTGAGCAAGGACCCCCACACACACACACACACACCTGGATCCGCCTATGCCATTGTGCTCAGCATGATGATGTGATCTGTAGTTGAGAGATACGAGGGTGTCACATGTGTTGGGGGATACATGGCATGAGACTGCAACTGAATATTACTGATAACTTCTTGCAGCCACAATGCCATGGTATAAAGATAAAAATCATGATTTTTAAGTTTCGCAAATGCTGTGTATTCACTTCAGAGAATTATGAACAAACTGAATGTGTCGAAACCTTTAGTTGACCAGTTTACCAGAATACAAACATCGAGCACTGAAATCTGTAAATCTGAAATAAATAAATTCAAACTACCAGATACAGACTTCAGCATTGATCCAACAGATTCAATCAGCATATCCATGTGCAGATAAAATATGGGGACTTTGCAATTTCAAAGGGATTCTCATTGTCAAGCAGTAAATCTGATACATTTGTTTGCCTGTGTGAGTTGTCATGGTCATCGATAGTGTTTGAATTGGTTGAAATCTCACAATTGATGATTGGTTCATTACCAACGAGCAATCATCGAGAAACATTTGGCTAGCTTCATTTTTCAGATTTTCCTATTCAGGTTGTTATTGCAGATAAGTGTTGTTTTTGGTTTATTTAGAAACTGCAAAAATTGCATTTGCAAATTTCACATCCAATGTAAAATGATGCAACCTGCTACTTTAAAGTGATGACTAATATGTCATGAACATAAATTTCCTTGAATCTTCAAGAAATAGTCATTGTGCTTAAGAACATACACATAGATTAAATATGCTAATATTTACGACAAAAATGTAAAGACGAAGTTTGCTAAATTTATAGTGTATCGCTGCAAAGTCACTGGAAGTGATTGTAATTTTGACACTTTCATAAAAGAACTAAAATTACATTATAAAATACTGAAACATAACAGAAAATGTAAGTGAGAAAGTGAAATCTTTATAGTCATAGTGTTAACACTTATGACAAGCGTATATCTAACTTGTGACTAATCTTTTTTTAACCCCAACACCCTGGTATGTCCATCCACATGACACTGTACAGGGGATGTAAAATCGTGGAATTGTATTACTAATAAATGATGCTAAAAAAATAAAATTCTATTCCTTTATTTTATTTTAATCAAAATATTTTTAGTCACTGTGAGATGAAATTGAACTTCAAAGTGTTGTAAAATGTTATTTGTGCAATAATCTAGATGCACCTATTTTGAAACCAGTTTGTATAATAACTGAAATATTAAAGGGTCAGATGAGTACATATTCCAATTAATGACAAGACAAAAATATTTCACCTTTATTGATCAATATGAGGACAGGCCTTACACTATCAATGGTGCCAGTCAAGAAATAAGGGATGACACCAGGGTACCCACGACAAGAAACAAACAACAACCAGTCCCGAACAGACCCATGAAGATCCGGGTTAGAATTGGTCTCAGAACTGTGTTCCATTGTAGATATTGCTTGTGTGAGATCAAACAACAACCAGTTCCGAAGAGACTCATGAAGATCCGGGTTAGAATTGGTCTCAGAACTGTGTTCCATTGTAGATATTGCTTGTGTGAGATCACACAATATCTCCTAGGAGATATCGTTTTGACAATAGATTTTGTACAATGCCCTGACAATGCTATGATGTCATGAACTTGATGACATGACAATGCTATGAAATCGCTGCACTGCAAGTCTAATTGCAGTACTGTGTTCAGAGATGTACATTTGTCATTGAAAACTAATTAAGAGTGATTTTTGATGATAAAAAAAATCTTACCCTTGTGTTTTCTGATATCAAATATATCAACCCTCATTGATAAAAGTACAAATTTGTAACTTTTTCAACTTGTGTAGATATAATTGATATCAGAAGACACTTAGGTGAGATTCTCTATCAATGATAATAAATAATAACAATAATACTCCATTTAACATGTGCATTGCTCCATGGACAATGCATGCTCTAAGCGCCCAAACAATCTGATATTATTACCGTACCCCTGATAACCAAAGCAGCCTGTTAAGTGCTAGAGGGTCATATAGTCACATGACTTTATCCCACCGGTACCCATTTTCTGCTGGGTGAACAGAGGCAATTTTGAACAAATTCACTTGCCTAAGGTGAGACCACATGTATCACATGTGCTTCATTGTGGGTCAGGACTGAAGTCCTAGGAACTCTCAGTAGTCAAGCTGCCAAACAGGGTCACCCATCCAAGGACTCTCCGTGTTCAACGTTGCTTCACCTGATTTGTGACCTGAGCTCTATGCACAGGACCATATGCCACCTCTATCTTCAGCAACAAAAGATTGTCATAGGAGACAGCTAAAAGGATCGGGTGGTCAGGCTCGTTGACTTGGTTGACATATGTCATTGTATCCCATTTGTGTAGGTCGATCACTGAATTTTCTGGTCCAGACACGATTCTTTACAGACCGCCGCCATATGGCTGGAATATAGTTGAGTGCCGCATTAAACAACAAACAAACAGTCACAAAGAATTGCACTGGGTCAGCACCCCTTCAACAAGGATACCTGAGTCAGACACAGCACTGACTCTGGGGTTGACCAGTCCTTTTTCTATTCTTGCTGAAGACCAATTCTAACCCGGATCTTCACAGGTTTTGTTTGGTCTAGAACAGAGTCAGTGTACTGATTCAAGAGTTGTGAAACGAAGCTGACAGTTGTCATGTTGATGTCAATCAATTACCTTTGGATTTCGTCCAGCCGAGTTCAGCCTATCTCTGCTCTTGTAGTGGACTTTGCGACTAACTGCCTCTACAAAACAGAAAGGATTTGTAATCACTAACCTACGATTCTAATTGTCTCTGCATAAATCATTTCTCCAGACGTCTCATTTGAAACAAATATTTTGAGTGACTTACACACTATGTTCTGAGCCTCACATAGAATGACTTGAATATACTGATTAATTATTTTTTATGCTCCCCATCTACATTGATACACTTTTGCCAAAGAAGTCTTTCGATACAGTCGGCAAAAAAATCCACAAGCCTTTGGTAATTGAATTTGAGACATTGTTGACCATGTTGACCCCTGCCTCGCATATCGCTACTTATAATGTTCTGCTGACCAGTGTTGGGAATTGGTGGAAATCTCACGATTGATGATTGGTTCATTACCAATGAACAATCATCGAAAAAAATTGGTTAGCTTCATTTTCCAGATTTTGCTATTCAAGTTGTTATTGCAGATAAGTCTAAAGACAAATCATATGGTTCTCTGTTGTTCACTGTTTTATTGAGAAGCTTTGCAGATTGGGTTTGCAAATTTCACATCCAATGTAAAATGATCCAACTTTCTACTTGAAGTGATGAGTAAGATCATTATGTCATGAACATATCATGAGTTTCCTATGAATTTAACACATTTTCAGGCCCTGACAACTTCTAAGATATGTTCCATCATTAAGTGTTTCAAACACTAAAACAGTAGTTCCAAAATGGTTTGTGTTCTATTATGAGAAAATGCAATCAATTGCCTGGTCGTTTGGTCACTGCGACGAATCCACTACTGCTGACACCTTATAATCTCAAAACTCACCTTTTATGTATACACGGAAACACATTGCTGTACTTTCAAATTTAGAGAAGTGATTGGGTAGCCTAGTGGCTAAAGCATTCGCCCGTCACGCCGAAGACTGGGTTCGATTCCCCACATGGGTACAATATGTGAAGCCCATTTCTGGTGTCCCCTGCATGATATTGCTAGAATATTGCTAAAAGTGGCACAAAACTAAACTCACACTCAGTCACTCAAATTTAGAAAGAATATTAACAATGGACAGTTTCTTCTTGTGGCTAGTATATTTGATGCTCAAGACTTATCCTCCAACCCTCATACTAGTCATAGTGCAGCTGTCCCTTCCCAACTACAACTTCACAGACTGTTCTCCTGATGCAATTCTTTGCCGTTCTGTGATAGTTACAGAACTATCATGTAAATTTCGCTTTTCATAGAAAAGTGTCCTATAACTTGGAAATCAGTAGTTATTGTACTATAGTCATGAATCTAGCAATCAAATATTATTCATTCCCGGTGCCAGTTTGCTCGTTAACTCAACAATATCCCAGCTGCATGGCGGCCGTGTGTAAATAATCATGTCTGGACCATACAATCCTGTGATTAACAGCATCAGCATCGACCTATGCATTTGGGATACAATGACATATAAGTCAACAAGCCTGCCACCCAATCCTGTTATTCATTTTTTTCCACAAGCATGAGTTTCTGAAGACCAATTCAACTAAGCAATTGAGACTACATGATGGTTTAGAATTTAATAGATGATATTCTGTGAATTAAATACTTCATATTTTTTTTTGGGGGGGGGGAGTTATAATAAATACTATCATGTATTTTTCCTCTCCTTTACAGCAAAGAGAATGTTTGTCATATATTACAACACATTCTTGTGATAATATTTTATTTTTAACTACAGAGACAGTCTATATTATAGACAAGTTGTAGCTACGCAACATGTTAAACAAAAAAAGGAAGAAAAAAACATGTTATAAAAAGGAAGCTTATCATATATCTATATATAGAAATTATCATCCAACATGTCAGAAGGATGTCATTTTTTTGTGTCTGTGTGTAAAACTAATATTTAGATGTTATCCAAAATTTAAATTTGACCAGTAGTCTATCTCTCTGACCCCGACTACTGCTCGTCATTAACCTGGCACCACGATGCTCGCGATTTAACATCGCTGGCCTCCAAATCACACAATACCCACATGACTCTTTATAACGCGGATGAATCCTTAGATATATAAGTAAACCACTTGGTGGTATATCACTTGAACGGTCTAATGACATGGTTTAGAGCAGGAGAATAACAGTATCATTTTCATAGCAACCGTAAGTCTTTTTCACTAAAGTAGCCTTATAACGAAATGCGTTTTGACTCACAAACCTAACAGGGCTAGTTTACAGAGAACTGTGAACAAACTTTTGACATCACTTTTCAACTTGTTTCTGCATAGCTCCCATAGTTCGGAGCTCTCAACAGATTACATGCGTTTATCGGCTGTAAACACAAGAAATCAATTTAATGAAATCTACTCACCTCCAATCGGCCGTTCCGGACCGTCAGAGATGCTCCAAGCGTTCATATAGACAAGCACCAACATTGGCAAAAATACCCCGAGAGCTGCCACAACGGTAAACAGTCGCAACCACATTTTCATTCTGCTTGGAAAGTTCAGGGTCAAAGCCGACTTGTGGCGACAATCAAAACCCCATGTGAACTTTCCACGTCACTTTTTACCCCGCTAACCCCGAGCCGCGATGGTCTCACCAAAATGTAAATTGCCACACAAGCGCGTTTGGAACCGCCATTGTTAGAGGTGTTTACTTCCCAGATGTCACGTGACTCCGTTACATGTGGCCCTCACTTGCTCCTTCCCCAACTGATAGCGTTCGGATGTGGAACACTCACGATATGTGCTCAGTCCAGCTTACGTGGCACATGAGTGGATGGGTCCGATAATGATAGAGTGTATGATAAGTGGTTGGCGGACAGCTTGTGACAGCAACTGATATTAAATATTTTAGCTCCATTGATAAATCCTCTCAATGCTGCAGTCGAACACATTCGACAGGAGAGGGGCATAATGACATTTCTAAATAAACTACAATATATTTACAATACTATTTACCGAGTAGGATTTACGTGTCATTTGAATTACCTATGGTTTGGTTGTTGTTTAACGCCGCACTCAGCAATTGTCCAGCTTTATGACGGCGTTCTGTAAATAGTGAGTGAGTTTTAGTTTTACGCCGCACACAGCAATATTCCAGCTATATGGCGGCGGTCTGTAAATAAATCGATCTCCGCAATTGGGAACCGATGACATATGTGTCAACCAAGTCAGCGAGCCTGACCACTCTATCCCGTTAGTCGCCTCTTACGACAAGTATGGGTTACTGAAGGTTCATTCTAAGCCGGATCTTCTCGGGCGAATGGAATGCATGAATGCTCAGCTTTCAAAATAAGCTAGTATGTACCTTAAAACGAAAAGCCCGCGAATTGAAAATGTATCGGTCAATTTTCTCGACACACAGCCACGAACAGCATTGTTGACTTCATGAATTCATGTCGAGTGGTCTGATATTTTCTTCATAGTGTAATCATATATTGTTTATAATTTGATCAATAGTTTTGGTCTTTGGTGAAGAGAAAACACTGAAGTTCCCTTGTTTCTAAAAACAGCACTTCGGTTTAATTAGTTAAAAGCAAAAACCATCTCAATGTTACATCACGATCATGGCAAGGGCAACTTCACAGGCATCGTGAAACCAAAAAAACTATCGCAATCTTTTTGATAATAATCTCTAACAACTTTTGCTGGAATTAATTACATGGTCCGATTAAATAACTTTAGAAAAATGCTCATATTTGATACTCGATTAATACTTACTTGAATTGCACCTAGTGAATGTTCATATTTTGCTGTTTAAAAAACTCAGGCATCAGATGGGGAAAATGATTATTTATAGGCTTGGAGCAGTGACTGTGATCACTACTCGGACAGTGAGTGAAAGAGTGATCATTACTGTTCACGTCATGAAATTGTATATGAAGTAACATAAAATAATAATACCAGACCCAGATTAATATTGTTGTATTGATGTTCTTAATTGATGTTGTAGATAATTATATACTGAGCAGGAGGTGCAACCTGTTATTGTCTGGGGCATCAAGGTGATCATTACGTTAGCACCATGGGCAAATATGTTTCGTTTCCCTCAATCGATAAATCTTTTCTTGCTATCTTGTTTGAGGGTAATTTATTAAGACTATAATTTGATTTCTTATTTGTGGCACCGGCAATGTCAAACACACGAAACAGTGCTCAATGTTTGACATGTTAAAATTCAAAGAAGACCGTTCTTGACATTCCTTGTTTAATGCTGGCCGAGGCAATTCTACTTCTCATACTTAATAGGAACATATCACTCTCAGACACTCTGACACATCAGCAACTATCATGGAAAGTTATGTAGACTAATTACATATTATGTCATTGCTCAGAAACCAAGAAAACGATACTAATGTGAGATAATTTCCATTTAATTTAACAGAAAAAATCGAAACTCTGTTGACTTTCATCAAAACTTTTTCTGATAAATATATTGTTACTTCAGCAGCATAACTGAGCCCAGGTATTTGTAATTGAAAATAATTCACAAAACAAAGATCTATTGTTTGGAAAAATGGTTCATCACATTTCTATTTTAGGTATATTTTAGCATGATAAGGTATGAAATCAAAATACGCAAAAATAATGTGAAACATCAATCCTTATGTTTTTCACGGTGGTCAGGTTCGCTAACTTGGTTGACACATATCATCGGTTCCCAATTGCGCAGATCGATGCTCATGCTGTTGATCACTGGATTGTCTGGCCCACACTCGATTATTTACAGACCGCCGCCATATAGCTGGAATATTGCTGAGTGCGGCGTTAAACTACACTCACTCACTCACTCACAGGAGATATATCAGAAATAGGGCTGCAAATGACTTGTGGCAATTTTATTGATCTTACCTTCTGGCATGGGTTCTGTTCAGCGACAGAGATGTCATGAAGGCACTTCTTCCCCTACCAACACTGTTCAGCGACAGAGATGTCATGAAGGCACTTCTTCCCCTACCAACACTCTCTCTTACCTTCTGGTATGGGTTCTGTTCAGCGACAGAGATGTCATGAAGGCACTTCTTCCCCTACCAACACTCTCTCTTACCTTCTGGTATCTCTGTGTTTGCAAATATCAGGATATATTTGGCTAATGATGTTCATTTTTCTATCTTGTATTAATGTACCAAATACTGGTTTAGTTGGTCCTTATTTAATGACGCCCCAACTGTTTGAATTCATCCCCCTCTGTTTACAGCGACTTATGCTGACATTAATTCCGCAGTCTAAAGGTTAAACATTGCACGCGAGGCAAAATGGCTGAAAGCGTACATGTTAATGTTTACGAAAAGTAACTGATTCCGCTTTGATTTATCAAACCACACAATTTCCTTGGTGTATGCATTTGTTTGTTTGCATTTTTAAGCCTGACTACATTCATGTAACATAATATTGTGGTTCAAATAATAATTTACGGAATGAAGTTCTAGAACCCCTCTGGTAGTGTTATTTTAAAAGGGGTACATAATGCTAGCTGTCAGACTTTCATTTTTATGGATCGAAGCTGTTGAGTGGCCTGGTCTGGTCGGGTCGCTGACTTTGTGTAGGTGCCATACTATTTATCAGGTAAGCATGTGTCGATAAATTAAAACTAATTCGTTATTTAGAGATGCGGTCACTTTCGTGACTGACTCGTGAAGATCCGGGTTAGAACTGATCTTCAGCAACCCGTGTTTGTTATAAGAGGTGACTAACGGGATCGGGTGGTCAGGCTCGCTGACTTGGTTAACACATGTCACATTGTATCCCAGTTGTGTAGACCGATGCCCATGGTCACTGGATTGTCTGGTCCAGGCTCGCTTACTTACAGACCGGCGCCATACAGTTCTAATAGTGTTTGGTGCAGCGTTAAACAAGAAACAAACAAAACTGAAATCCTGTTTGTCGCATCTCACGACATGTTGATGAAGGACAGTCAAAACAAGGATCTTCAGGGGCACAAACGATAAAAAAAAAATCATTCGTAACGTTACGACCTGTCGTAACTCTACAGTTTACCGTAGGCTTACGAATGTCGTAGCGCTACGAACGCTTTTTGGATAAGGACCCAGGGCCCAGATTGTCGAAGCTCTCTTAGCGCTAAGATAGTCGTAAGTTAATGTTAATGTATGGCACTTAAGACTATCTTAGCGCTAAGAGAGCTTCGACAATCTAGGCCCATGTTCCCACATTATGTGTAAAGCCAATGCGTACATGTTGAACAGTTACACACCCATCAACATAGAGTGAGTGAGTGAGTATGGTTTAACGCCGCTTTTAGCAATATTCCAGCAATATCAGGGCGGAGGACACCAGAAATGGGCTTCAAACATTGTACCCATGTGGGGAAACGAACCCGGGTCTTCGGCGTGACGAGCGAACATTTTAGCCATTAGACTACCCCACCGCAAACCCATCAACATAGAACTACATGTTCTTCAGCTGATGCGACCTCTCGGTGGGATCATTTTGGGGCAGAACACACACAATCGTAAATGATGGTGAGTCGTTAGAATAGTTAATTAGCTGATGTTTAGGCTTATAAACGTTTAACATTGTGAAGCAATACCAAGCATCAGCCTGGTTCCAAGGATCTGCTGCGCTAACGCTTCGACCCTGACCCCAGCAATGACTGTCGAATGGCGGCCTTCACTACTGGGCGACACGCCATATATGTATTTACTGTAGAAAATTCCGAGAACGGTTGGTTAGAATTTTTTCATAGCATTTTCATCGATACTTTGGCAAAGTACACGTAACCAGAACAACGCCCATCGTTACTTTTAGTGCACGAAAACGTTATTTAAGCAGTTTTGAGACACGAAAATCGTCGTTACATGGGCGACATGTAAACAGAGACCATATAATAGATTTATGGTATATATTATATGGTCTCTGATGTAAACAATAACACATTCCCATTTTCAACACCGACATGTGCGTTGATATTTCGTGTCAGCTGTTGTCACGAAATCATAAACATAAAGCATGGATCTGAACGACCACATTGAATAAATATAGTTAATGACGAAAATATTGCTGGTCATCTCCCGTATCTTACATCGTAGGTTCAGCGGATATATATTTTAGATCCATATGAATGATGTTAATGACAGGGTTTATCATTCTAATATTTAGCCTCTGGATTTTTGTTAATATGAAAAGCCATTTATTATGTTTTCTAATGCATAATGAGGACATTATTGATGAAGTTCAATCCATTTATTCTAAACTGAGGGTATGCTTGAAAAAGAATTGTCGACTCTCGGTGGAATAATACAGAAAAATATATCCATCATCTTGAGTTATTTAGGCACATATCATTTGTAATTTTCAAAACGGATTCATGTATTTACTTTTTACATAGTATGTTGTCAAATAAAGTATCTGAATCTGTTGGCAAAACAACATGAAAAAGTTATCATACCATTATTATTCAGAAATGTTGATAATTATTTTGAACACGGTGAATCACATTATCTATATACAAAAATATACGCAAATATATACATGTATACTGCTCAATTAATATAATGAACTTAGCACATTACTTGACTAAACTGAATATACAAAAGTACACAGTATGATCAATCTGTTAATACTTTACGATGAAAATACATACATTACCATAGAAGTATATATATTTTGAAGAAGAACATTTTAGACAGATGTACATTCCACTATTTGTGAACTGTTGAACTAAGGGTGATTTTTACCAATGAATCCTGTTCTGAGCACTGTAGTTTAATATAAAGGCTTGAAGCCAGTATCAGAGTATACATTTGCTATGTATTGATAATTTTGTGAATGATAACCCTGGTGATATTAGAATAGATTTGACACATGTCAATAATCATAATTTGCTGTCAGCAATAATTTATTGTTCAGCCAGATATCAGTTAACTATTTTGATTAAATGCTGCTGTGAAAAATAAATTCTAACCGCCCGCCCTCGGATTTTTGGCGTGTCGCCCAGTAGTGAAGGCCGCCATTCGGTAGTCATTGTCGAGGTCAATGTCGAAGCGTTAGCGCAGCAGACCCCGGGAACCAGGCTGCACCAAGCATTTGACAGTTGAGCACTCACCTTTCAGGTGAAGAAATATTAAATGAACTTTTCACTTCGAGTGCAGGTTTTACGTTTCTTCTTCAAATTTTATTCCCTAAAGTTTTACTACAGCTAGGGTTCACAGCTAGGCAAAATTATTATACTTGAATCGTTCGCCAACAAATCTCCACACCAACATTCCTCGACGGTTAAAGGGGCTTGTTGCTTAACGCCGTATTCATACTCACAGACACATAACTGTTAGTGCCCCTGTTTCTTAACATAAATATATACAGTATACAACTAAAACATCACACTAAATTTTCAGCAATATTTTAATCTAGATATTAGAGGTGAGGTGAGGTGAGGTGAAATTGGGTTTAACGTCGTGCTTGAGAATAATTCGCTCATATGACGACGTGCATGCGTGTGTATGTGTATGTGCGGCTGCTTGTACTAGCCCAGACTGAAGCTGGTTTTATAGTGCTAGCCCACTGAGATACCATGCCGCAGTGAAGCATGAAAACCCCACTCAGACACATTATACTGACTCCGAGCCGACCAGTCCTTGTTGTACCCATTAATGTCGAGCGCCAGGCAGGGACCAACAAGTACCATATTTTAACGTCTTTTGGTATGACGCGGTCGGGGATCGAAATCTAGATATTAGAAGCTATATTGGGTTGTTTTGTTTGGTTCAACATCGCACTCAGCAGTATCCCAGCTATATGTCAGCGGTCTGAAATTAATCGAATCAGGACAAGGCAATCCAGTGATCAACAGCATGAGCATCGATCTACGTAATTGGGATACGATGACATGTGTCAACCAAATCAGCGAACCTGACCACCCGATCCCGTTTGTCGCCTCTTACGACATGCATGGGTTGCTGAAGACAAATTCTAATCCAGATATTCACAGTAATGTGTAATTATAAAGTTTCCCGTTATTCGCTTCTTACGACAAACATGGGTTGCTGAAGGCCAATTCTACACACATCGAGCAATTGAGACTATATAATGGTTAACATTTTAAGAGATGATATTCCACGATAAATACTCCGTGTTCATATGTTATAGAAATATTTTGTTTTTACAATAACTATCATCATGTTTATTTCTCCTATATAACTGCCGAGTCACAAGGGGTCATATATTACTACACATTTTTACGACAATATTGCATTACTGTTCTACAAAGATAAAACATTTCGCAATTGTTGTCTCATATGTTATGGATAGTTGGTAGCTATCGAAATGTATTAATATCGTGTGAAATTAGTATTGTACCAATACCAATAAGTATATGTAAACTCACGGGCGAAAGAATTTTTAACGTCACCTCGCTTTTTTAACATGTCACAAGAAAGTCAGATTTTGGAAATTTAACAATCATATGTGGAAGATTAATGGATTTACAACATTCTGAATGATGAAAGTGTGAACTACAGATATGAATAATCACTTAGTTTACGATGAAAAAAATTAATCATTTTGGTGACGTTTCTTTCGCCCCTGTGTTACATATATGCATATTTCGAAATCTATTAATATCGTGTCAAATTCATGTGGTACCACTTAACTCTGTTGGTCGTGGTTTAATACTCTTTTCAGTGATGTAGATT